TTATTTTGTTTTCTTTTTTTCCCCAAAGGACTTATTCTTGTCCTCCAAAAAAGAAATAAAGAATATTTAGGATTTTTACCTCCAATTGAAATTTCTTCAGTAATTCATCAACACTACACCTGAAGCCAAAGCATTCGCTTCAGAGTTGAATTCAGAAGCTGATTCCACAAAAAATCAACCTCAAATATAGCATCTTCTGCTTCAAACAACTCCGTGCAATACCGCAAAAATAGAGGACAGTCCTTGGAGGATATGCTATCTGAAAGCTAAAAGCTTTACCCTTTTCTTTATTTCTGTTGTTTACTTAAATTGCTTGGTAAAAGATTTATCCACCAGTTCTTCCTGGTGTAAATTTAATAGCCCAGATATTAAAACCATCAAGTTCGAGGTTAGAGAGGAAAATGCCAACCTTGCTTCTTAATGGCAGCAGCCCACCCAAAGATGCTTAAACACCATCAACAGTATCCTTGATGCTTTAACAAGGGTACTTAAAAAGCAATTAAGTATGCCAATCTCAGGCTGAAAACAATTTTAAAATAACACATGCATTAAGTCCCTGCTTCTTGACAAAGTAGTGATTTGCACTACATGATTTAGATACTGTGCATCGTTACAGCCATTTCCACAAAGCAGGGAAGTGCGTGCTAAGGAAGATTCATGCTATTGTAAGTTCGGTTCTTTCTCCCCCGTTAAAAAACAAAACTGCATACAATCGACTAACAATTTTGAGTAACTACCAAAAACCTCACCACTATAGGATACATTGATATTAGCTAAGAGCTAAAACTTAATATTTATTGGCCTTTGACTATTAAGATACAGGAAGTTGGAGGATAGAAGGCAGCAGGATGGAAAAAAGAGGTGTAGGTAAAGACTTTGCACTAAGGAACTTTCCTCCAAGAGGGTACATTTGAGTTGAAGTTGTGCCAAAGGTCACAGATGGTGTCAAACACTATTACATCCTCAGCAACCGTAACTGGGGAGGATGGGTGGTAGCTAAGTTCAGGACGTTGAACTGGGAGAACAATGACAAGATGGACCACCTGGACAGCTGAGCCTACGCAGTAGCGTGGATTGTAAGGCCCACCAAGAGGTACTTCCCATCCTAGGGCTGAGGCGCAGCCCATGGCTGATTGAGGGAGATCCATTTAGCAGCAGATAGTACAAGGCAAGGAATGCGATGGTGAACAGGAAGGAGCAACTCTAGGTAAGGAGTTCCACAGCCAGGTCCTTTGGTCAAGCCAAGACCATGAGGATATAAAGGTATCTGAAGACTTTACACTTTTCTGGAACCAGTGTGTCTGGGCAATCATCAAAGGTTTGGGGTTCCACTTGTTTTCTCAAAACTGTCCTGGTAAGATGATTACAACCCCTTTCTCAGATGGGAGAATTTGACATCAACAAAGCCTTCTTCTTTCCTGTTCAATGTAGACAGTGCTTCAGGCTCTGACAGCCACTTTAAAAATGCCCAGATGTTTTTAATAGAAAGCAGTCATAGCTGCATAGCTTATCGTCAACAAAATCAGAGGCAATAGGGTGAAGGTGTTAGGAACACAGGCAGTGAGGCCACAAAAACTGGGTTCCACCATGTACTAGCTGTGTGACTTTGGGCAAGATAATTAATCTCTCTGAGCCTGATCTGTAAAATTAGGACAACAAGTAATTTGAGGATTAAATGAGGTAAACTATGTTAAGAATTTAGCACATTCCTTGACACTGTGGGCCATCCAGGAGTGATTACTGTTGTTGTTATCATCAGACAGCAAAATGCTACACTGGACAAGAGCTAGAATCATATTTGGGCCTCAAAAGGCATAATCCTCCCAGTGTGAGCCACAGCTATTTTTCCACCTCAAAATCTGCTTTGGAATATAGCAAGGACAAAATAAATAATTGACTAAATGTTGAATCTTCTGATTCTGAGCATTTTTCATTTTCCTGTGGCCTCTGCCCATGTTCCAACTATTTCTAGATTGCTCTCCTTAGAAGCAGTTTTGTATGTACTCTAGAGAAGTATTTGTTTTAATACACGTTCAAACCAAATGTAATTAGTAAAACAAGCTTCTGGGAGAAAAAAATTGTACTGTGCATTCCAACGCCAGTTTTCAAATTATTCATTTGGTTGATGCCTCTCATGTAGGTAATTAAGAAATAACTGCACCCTGAGTGTAGACAGTAAGAAATTAAAATGTGTACATTGTCCACTCTAATGAGACAATACCTACCCCGTAAGGAAAAAGTCACTCTACTTGGAATGCTCATAATTACTTTAACCTGAGTCATTCCCACTGGTAAGTTATTAAATTCCTAAATGCTCGTTCTATCAAAATGTGTTTTTTCTCAAAGTAAGGTGATATACAACTGGGGCCTTGAAGGAAAGGTAAGTTTTGCATAGGAAAATAAATATAGAGAAGGAAAGAAGATCAGAGGCAGAAAGAAAAGGAAGAGTAGAAGATGGAGAGGGAGAAGGTTAGATGGTGGTCAGGCCTGACGGTGGCTATAGGTCCCAGATCCCCAACCAGGAAAGGTAGCAGGCTATTCATCATGCATCCTTTTACAAGTAGCTGTACCTGGCTCCTGAACAATGCTGAATAATATCTAGGGGCTGCACATCAAAATAAAATAAGTCCCAGACAACCAGATACCAGAAAGAGATTATTTCTTGAATGGCCCCTGAGATTCCAGGTTTAGGGACAGTTCTATGATAATTATCCAAGAAGCTGAATACAAGTTTCCCCACTCTCCGAAAGTAAAGATTTCCTATCAAAACTTTCGTAAGCAGAAATGGTGTAAAGCAAGAATCAATTACCTTAAGACACATCTTGCTGACAGGGATGCACAAAATAAATGGAGATAAAGCACAGATGCTCACAGACACAAAGCGATGGCAGCTTGAAGCTGAGAGGCAGAGTGTAGTTCCTGGGGAAGGAGCTTGTGGTGCTACTCTGCTGCTCGAGATGGGGTACATGCTGCCTCTATAATGGCTCACTGCAAAAAAACACTGATGCTATTTTCGCTTTTCACCAGTTTTTGTAAAAGCAAAAATACTCCTCAGATTTCTTTTAGTTAACAAAAACAGGTACTAATGTAGGTCTTTTGTAAAAGTGACGTGGCACAAAGCGAACTTCTGAAAAGCAAGGGATACCTGTATGTATTATTATTATGGACCCTGAATACTTCATTCTCTTAGACTTTCTTTGATCTGGGATCTTGGTTTGTGTCCAACTGCCAAGGAGTTTAGGTAAAAGTGAAAGGGAGCTTCCTTACAGCTAGTGAAGAGGGAGCTGGAGTAGTAGGTGGGCTAGGAGAGTGAGGAAAATGGGAGTTTGAAGGCTGTCTAAGTTTCAGTGCCCAGGAACAAGGCTCTTTCCGTTGCACATTATTTTAATAAGTTTAGAAAAATGGTTGTGTTTCAACAAAGCACTGTGGAAACATACAGTACCCTTTCTCAATCATGGTACATACAGGTAGAGAGGACATTTGTTTTTAAATGTCCAGTCACATAAATTAACTGGAGCTCCAGACTTTTGAAGGAAAACTAGACTGGATTTAAATAATTGAAGACAAGCAGAGAAAACATCTTAATAAAACTTCATAATTTGACTCGCAGTTTCTTGAGCCATTAGTGCTTACTCTTATTAGGTACATGATTACCAAGTGATTGGTGAGTATCAGTTAATAACCTGAACATTTATAGGGCCTTTTTATCTAGCTGAAAGCTGACTGTTTATTAGAACTACTTTCATCCATCTTCCCCAACCTGAATTGCCCATTCATCCTCTGTTATTTTCTTTTTAAAATATTATTTTTATATTACAGTGCATGGCCCCAAAATGCCATACATTTGTATGGTGCACTTCACAGAGAACTTTCACAATAACTATTGAATCTATATTATTTAGCTTCAATTTTAAATTAAATCTGTCACTGTAAATCCCTAGAAGATAGTGGTCGAATTTATGTAAATTCTCTTGATACAGTTCATAATCAATAATACTTTTGATGATGATGCTTTTTTTTAGGTAAAGATATATCTGATTTTTAAAATGTACCATAAGCAAAGCCTTTTCAACTTTGTTTACAACATAAATTTAACCACACAGGAAAGAGTAGTTAATATTAATGAAGAAGATGAATGAACCAGGCCAAGGCAGCCAAGACTGCTCAATATTTGAAATTCTATACTTTACATTTGTTAACAAGTTTAATTAATTTGGTGAATAAGTGAGCTGTGGGCAAGTCACTTACTAGTTCTCTGAAACCAATTTGCCTTGAAATTATTAAGAGATGTTTAATTGATTTAACTTGAACTAAGAGGACAAGGCTGAAACACTTTGCATCAAAACAGAAGCTTCACTAAAATGATTTGATGTACCCTGAGCCCTATAATCTGAAAAGAAGATGAACAAAAGCACATTAACCCTAACTGCCTGGTCCAGAAAGCCTCCTGAATGAGATGGGACCAACCAAGGAACTCTGATTTGGCTGCTGCTGCTGTCACCTTACATAACTTTACATGTTATTTCTGCAAACACTTAATAGCTATACCAAAGACCAATTCCCCCAAATGGGTACAAATCCAAAACAATTTTCATTTCTTTATTGTACCAACTAACAGACTGAGTGTATTTCTTACATGAAATATAATTGTTATCATCATTTATATTTTATATTTTATTTAATTTTAATGGCAATATATTCACAAGGTACAGGAATCAAATAATATATAAAAATATACAGTAAGGGGCTTCCCTGGTGCCACAGTGGTTGAGAGTCCGCCTGCCAATGCAGGGGATACGGGTTCGTGCCCCGGTCTGGGAAGATCCCACATGCTGCGGAGCGGCTGGGCCCGTGAACCATGGCCGCTGAACCTGCGCGTCCGGAGCCTGTGCTCCGCAACAGGAGAGGCCGCAACAGTGAGATGCCCGCATACCGCAAAAAATAAAAATAAAAATAAATAAATATATATATATATATACAGTAAGAAGTGTCACACTCACCCCAGTTCCCATCACCACTCCAACAGGTAATCACTTTTATTCATTTCTTCTAATCATTTTAGAGTTTCTTTGGATCTAGAAGCAAACATGAACATGTATTTTTATTTCCTTTTCTTTTTTCCACAAAAGGTTGCATGTTATATAGTCCGCTCTACACTTTTTTTTTTAACTTAACAATGCAGTTTATCCTGGAGATCTTTTCATATCAATTTTTCTTTGGTTTTGTTTTGTTTTTAACGGCTGTATGCTATTCCATTGTATGAATATGCCATAGTTGTTTTTTTTTTTTGTAAACTATGTCCTTGTTGATTTACATTTGGGTTGTTTCCAATCTTTTGCTACTGCAAACAGTGCTTCAGTGAGTAACCTTGTTCATTCATTGCAATTTTTATTCTAAGGCCATGCTTGTGAATGTTTTAATCATCACAGCCATTTTATATATTACCATTTCATAACAATTAAGCATGGCTAAATAGATGCAGCCATGGGAACATAATAAGAACCAGAAGAAACAAGCACCTTTATGCTGTGACCTACATCTTATGTATCAGATGCTAGATGCAAATTACCAACCTCATTAAGGGCTAGAGTCCTCATATTCATTATTTCCCCTTTTGACAAAAAATTTTTTTTAAATTTTTAAGAATTCATGGTTCAGGCTCTGTTCCAAGCACTGGAGATACTACAGTAAATAAAGGAAGCAAAGTCCTAATTTTATGGTACTTATACCCTAGTAGAGAGATGCAGAAAATTTATAAATAAATACATAGCAGCAGCCTTTCTCTCTCACAAAAACCAGAGGAGACCAGGTACAGGTTAAAATTTAGAAGGCCCTGGTGAGTAAATTTCCCTTCATGTCCATAGTTTAGAAAGAGACAAGCAGTTGCCATTAAACCTCTGGCTTCCCTAGAGCTGTGACTCATATATTTTTTAATTATTTGTGGACAAATTTTATCTTGCCTGTTTATGGTCACACTCCCAATTGAGAAAACTCCATATTATAGAAATGTTGATTCTCAAAATTAATCTATACAAATATAATGCAATTCCACTCAAAACCTCAACAGGATTTTTCGTAGAACTTGGCCAACTGATTTTAAAGTTCACCTTGCCCTACCTGATATGAAACATACTATAAAGCTACAATAATTAAAACAGTATGCTACTGGTGAAGAAACATCGATGGGCAAGGATAGAAAGTCTATAAACATTTTAATATGTACAAGAGAATTTAATACTAAATGGACTGAAACTGCTGTTTTTAGAGATCACAAATGACTGAAAATTGCCAACTGTGTATGGTACAGTCAAAGGTACAATAACATTTTACATAGGGTAACATTTTACATAGATAAAAGACAAATTAGCCCCCAAAATCGACTGTCCATTTTGGGAGAGGGGTAATTTGGTTAGATCCTTATCTCATACCAAGCATAAGAATAAATTATTTTATCAATTGTATTAACAATGTAGATATTAGAAGTATATACAGAAATATATATTAGTTAAAGTATTTAGTGGCTGTAACAGATAAATCCCCAAATCTCAGCAGCTTAAAAGTCAAAACACATGTTTCTGATTGTGTAGCTCCTCTCCAAGAGGTGATTCCAATCCTAGCACTTTCCATATTGTGGTTCCACCATCTTCAAAATGTAGCTCCCCATTTCTCCCTGGGGGTTATATTCCTTACAGACAACCAAAAGGAAAAATAGTATAAAAGATGGCACAGGCAAGTCACGGAAAATGGCACACATTCCGTTAGCCTCTGTCCACATTCTGTCAGCCAGAACTCAATAGCACAGCCACACCCAGTTGAAAGGAAGGTTGGAATATGAAGTCTGGCTATGTGCTCAGAAGGAAAAGAGCAAGAGTTGACCGAACAGCTAGGCTGTGTCCACTTCATCTATACATTTTTATGTGGAGGAAAACTAGGAGCATATGTTTGTGGGCTTGTGGTAAAGAAGATTTTCTTAGGCCAAAAGTGAAAAAATGAAAGATTGGCAGACTTGACTTCATAAAGCAGAAAAACCTAACCATAAAAGACACCATAAGCAAAGTTTAAAGGACAAATGAGAAACAGGAAGAAAATATTTATAACATATAAAGCAAAAGATTAATGTTGCAGAATACAAAAGTTACAAATGGCCAATAAATATGTGAAAAAGTGCTCAATCTCACTAGAAATCAGTGAAATTCTACTTTAAAACGAGGAAAGGATATTTTTTTACCCATCAGATTTGTAAAAAATCTCTAAATGTTTAAAATATCCAGCAATTCCTCTTCTAAATATCTATCTTAGAGAAATGCTTCCCAAAATGTTCAAAGTAAAACGAAGAATTTTGTTGTATCATTTACAATAATAAAAAATTGGAAATTACATAAATGTTCATAAAGAAAAGAATGGTTAAATAAACTTCACTACATCAATATAATGGAATATTATGCAGTAATTTTTTATGTAGATATAGACACACAACATGGAAAATTCTCCAAATATACAGTAAGTGAAAAAATAAGTCATGGAAAAATATATACAACATGGTCCTAATTTTGCATATATATGTATATGATTCCTATATGAATATTTAACTGTAAATGTGTGGAAAATAAAATATTAAATATCCTGAAGTATACACACCAACCTGATAAGTGTTTTTTCCTGATAAGTGTTTTTTCCCTTCCCCCAACAGGAGGGAAGATTAAAGGGGATATTTTTCTTATATAATCTGTTTTCTTTGAATTTTATTAGAACTATATAATGTATTACTTGTTTTTTTGTTAATTTAAAAAATATTTTATTTTCTTTTATACTATAAAATACTATACACAAAAATTTGCTAAAACTAGAGCAATATAACTGAACATGCTTGTTTATATTTTTATTGAGATATAATTGACATATAACATGAGCTTCCAATGTATAACATAATAATTTGGTATTTTTATACATTGCAAAATAATCAAAATAAGTCTAGTTAATATCCATCACCATACTTGGTTAAAATTTTTTTCTTGTGATGCGACTTTTTAAAAAAACTTTTAAAATTGAAGTATAGTTGATTTACAATGTCATGTTAGTTTCAGGTATACAGCACAGTGATTCAGTTAGACCCATATATATATTTTTTTCAGTTTCTTTTCCCTTATAGGTTATTATAAAATATTGACTATAGTTTCCTCTGTTCTACAATAGATCCTTGTTGGTTATCCATTTTATATATAATAGTGTGTATATGTTAATCCCATCTTCCTAATATATCCCTCCCCCATAACCATAAATTTCTCTGGATATATGCCCAGGAGTAGGATTGCAGGATCATATGGTAATTCTAATTTTAGTTTTTTAAGGAACCTCCACACCGTTATCCATAGTGGCTATACCAGTTTATATTCCCACCAATAGTGTAGGAGTGTTCCTTTTTCTCCATATCCTCTCCAGCATTTATTATTTGTAGACTTTTTGATGATGACCATTCTGACCAGTGAGGTGATACCTCATTGCAGTTTTGATTTGCATTTCTCTAATAATTAGTGATGTTGAGCATTTTTTCATGTGCCTGTTGGCCATCTATATGCCTTCTTTGGAGAAATATCTATTTAGGTCTTCTGCCCATTTTTTGATTGGGTTGTTTGTTTTTTTGATATTGAGCTTGTACGATCCATTTGTACATTTGGAAATTAATCCCTTGTTGGTTGCATCATTTGCAAATCGCATCATTTGCAAATATTTTCTCCCGTTCTTAGGTTCTCTTTTCATTTTGTTTATGGTTTCCTTTGCTATGCAAAACTTTTAAGTTTAATTTGGTTCCATTTGTTCGTTTGTTTGTTTTGAACTTTGTTTTATTTTTTGTATACAGCAAGTTCTTATTAGTTATCTATTTTGTATATATTAGTGTATATATGTCAATCCCAAGCTCCCAGTTCATCCCACCACCACCACCACCCCTGCCCCCACTTTCCCCCCTTGGTGTCCATATGCTTGTTCTCTACATCTGTGTCTCTATTCCTGCCCTGCAAACCAGTTCATCTGTACCATTTTTCTAGATTCCACATATATGCGTTAATATACGATATTTGTTTTTCTCTTTCTGACTAACTTTACTCCCTATGACCGTCTCTAGGTCCATCCACGTCTCTACAAATGACCCAATTTCATTCCTTTTTATGGCTGGGTAATATTGCATCGTACATATGTACCACATCTTCTTTATTCATTCGTCTGTTGGTGGGCATTTAGGTTGCTTCCATGACCTGGCTATTGTAAATAGTGCTGCAATGAACATTGGGGTGCATGTGTCTTTTTGAATTATGGTTTTCTCTGGGTATATGCCCAGTAGTGGGATTGCTGGGTCATATGGTAATTCTCTTTTTAGTTTTTAAGGAACCTCCATACTGTTCTCCATAGTGGCTGTATCAACTTACATTCCCACCAACAGTGCAAGAGGGTTCCCTTTTCTCCACACCCTCTCCAGCACTTGTTTGTAGATTTTCTGATGATGCCCATTCTGACTGGTGTGAGGTGATACCTCATTGTAGTTTTGATTTGCATTTCTCTAATAATTAGTGACGTTGAGCAGCTTTTCATGTGCCTCTTGGCCATCTGTATGTCTTCTTTGGAGAAATGTCTATTTAGGTCTTCTGCTCATTTTTTGATTGGGTTGTTTGTTTTTTTTAATATTGAGCTGCATGTGCTGTTTATATAGTTTGGAAATTAATCCTTTGTCCGTTGATTCGCTTGCAAATATTTTCTCCCATTCTGAGAGTTTTCTTTTCATCTTATTTATAGTTTCCTTTGCTGTGCAAAAGCTTTTAAGTTTGATTAGGTCCCATTTGTTTATTTTTATTTCTGTTACTCTAGGAGACAGATCCAAAAACTTACTGCTGCGATTTATGTCAAAGAGTGTTCTGTCTATGTCTTCCTCCAGGAGTTTTATAGTATTCAATCTTACGTTGTGATGGAACATTTTAGGAAGTGCAAAATAATAATTTGACTCTGGTTTCTTATTCCACATGTAAGGAACTTGGAATTTGCCACTCCCTTCTAACAAGTAAAAAGCAGAACAGACTGAAACATA